ATTAAAGCTCATCAACTTTTTTGATAGAAACGACTTAGTTCTTAGTAGCATATACAATGCTTGTTTTTCTACATATGATCTTTTCAGCTAAAGAGTTTCTTCTCTTTTATGACCTACTGTACTTGAGTCACAATGTACATGCTACTCGCCCTTCACACATCTTAATGCATATTTATCTAAGCAAAGAAGTTCAATGAGCATTAAGAAGAGCAGCTAAGGACATTTAAGAACCATATTCTGTAATTAAAATGATAAGAAAAATCTCAATAAACCAATTACTCTTTTAGGGTTTCTGCAAATATCAAATTCAGATAATAGGATAAAACAGATTCATCAATTTGGTAAAACTTGACTGAAAATATAACTTTATTAAGTTACCAACAATGCATATATGGAAAAAGCTATACATGGTATACATGCTCAATCTTGAAAAATGATGGTAAAAAATCTTCAATTTAAACAAAAAAAATGGTGAAATTTTAGTTGAAAAGGGAAAGTTTACCTGATACTTGTTTGCCCACCTGTTTCAACAAACCAACCCATCCATATTAAACTTAAGTTGGCATAACAACAAATAAAACTGTAGAAGAAACAACTAACTCAAAATTTATTGTATAGAATATGAATAAACGATAGCAAAAAATAACATGCTTTTTTAAGTTCTTAACAAATAATAGCAACTTAAGGACAGTTCAGTCAGTTAACAAAATTATAGAAAGCCCCAAAAAACTTCATCAAATACATTTCGGAACTTATTTTAAGGTTAACCGACTAGCTATCAAACAGATGTCACGTGCAAAAYGTAACCTTATTATTTGGGCATAAATAGCATTAAATCATTTTATCCACGAATTAATATCTGTTTACTTTTGAAAAAAAGGATGTAGTAAAACCATAAAGAATCTAAACAACATATTAGCCCAGGTTAGTTTCTTCAATAAAAGGAATCACAATTAGACATTGCAAACAACAGGTGCAGGTTAGATTGGTATGCACCAGATGAATAGATCTTCAACATGTTGCTACATTTACCAAGCCAAGGGCATAATATGGCTTTATGTTTCCAGTTGATATCACTGTGAAGGGATATGAATGGTGAACAAAACTCCTACCAGTTTCAAATGGATCCAGAAACATGGAATACAGGAAATGCCCAGTGCAAATTGGCACATATGGAATATACAAAGTTGCAGTCAGTCAAAATACCCAAAACACTTATATGGACTATGGGTCAAATACATGAGCAGGGTTTTGACATACTGATATTTGATCATGAGAGGGACCAATAAACATTATTGAGATTCAGCAGTTTCTTATGATTTTCTTATTTGTAATCATTAGTAAGTGTTTTTGGGTGATTAGTTAGTGTTGGGCCCAAGGCCCATAGTTTATGTTGTTTTTTTGGAGCTGTTTTTATGTTATGAACAGTAGCCTCCCTATTAAGGGCAATATTAGTCTTTGTAATCAATCTTTCTTTCTTTTTTCTTTTTCTCTGTTATCAAATCAGATTATTGTTTTCTCTTTTTCTACTTGGTATTTGCAACCCTATATCAGCAACTGCATGGTGAGGTAGAGAGCTGATTAAAGACTTCAAAAGTGTCCAGTTCTTGGTTTTTGGTGGATCTAGAACCCTTTGTGTCAGATCTTGGGTTGATCATAGTAGGACTCTTCCTGATCTTGGGTTGATGAGGAAGAAYTGGAGGAGGAAGTCTTGAACTATAGGACTTTTTATTTTCAACCTAGGAAGGGGTGCTATGGATTTTTTAGACTTCTTAGTGTTTTCTGAAGGGGGGGTGGTTCAAGTTCTAGAGTTTTCTGAGGTCTCTAGTGGGAGCAGCAGCCTTTTCTCCTATTTCTACCGGCTCCCACGGAGACAAAAATCTCTGTGGGTGAAGGTTTCTAGATACTAGAAGGTTGCTTGAGGCCTCTAAAAGGGAAAAATCTATTTTTTTCTCATGTACAGTTGATTTTATAAACTATTTTGAGAATTATTAAAAGCAATGGAGTTTGAGTACAAGTCTACTAGTGAAATGGGACTAGGTGGAGGAGGTGCTAGTGACCCTTTTAGGGCAGGGACCATCACTACAATTAGATTGAATGGTACAAACTATTTGGAGTGGTCACAATCAACCAAAATGGCTATTGGTGAAGAAAAGAAACTTAAGACTAACTCTTCCTAGTGGGTGCAGGAGAACTACATGGTGATGAGCTAGCTGTGCAATTCTATGTTACCCAATATAAGCAAAAAAATTTCTATGGGTTATGGGCTAACATATCTAAGGAGATATGGGGTGGAGTTGCAGAGACTTACAGAGTGTGAATGTTGCTAGGGCCTACCAGCAACATTTGGGATGGAGTTATAGTCTTACAAAGACTTACCAGTTGAGAAATCAGGTGATTGCTACTAGGCAAAGAGATAAATCTATTGCAGTTTATTTTTCAGCCCTCAAAACCTTATGGCAAAAGATAGATCATTTGGAGACTGTGGTTTGGGAGAGTAGTAAAGATGAAACTACTAACCAGAAATTGGTAAAGAAGAATAGAGTGTTTTAATTTCTACAGGACTTAACCCAGAGTATGATATTGCACGATAGTATGTTCTTTACCGTGATAGTGCAACTCTCTCTCAGGCATATGCCTTTGTGTTTGGAGAAGAGAGTAGGAGGAATGTGATGATAAGGAACTTAAACTTTGAGCAATTTGCTATGGTTAGCACAGTTAAACCTAAGCCTAGTGGGGATAAGGGTGGTAGTAATGGTAGGAAGGAGGACAAGAACTTGATCTGTGACTACTGCAAGAAACCTATGCATACCAGAGATGCCTGTTGGAAGCTTCATCCACACCTTATACCAAGTCGTCTTAAAAGCAAAAAAAAGGTACRTTAATATGGTAGTGATTGGTGACTTGTCTGAACCACCTACCACCATGGTTTCAAATGCTACGACATTTCGCTAATGTCACCCGACATATGTCGATGTCGAGGCTCACCGACATATTTTGGACTAAATCGGTCCAAATAACCTAAAAAAGACAGTTTTTCCTATTATGTCGATAGGATGTCGACTAACGTACATTAATAATATAATATATTAGTATATTATATTAATATAATACAGTATATTAATATAAATTATTCCATTAATAATTTATATTTAATATTTCAAATAAAATATTTATAAAAAAGAATTAACAAAAATAAAAAAAA